GAAAGAGAAGAAGGGGAGGTCCCGCGTCTGAGCGAGTCTGAGGGTTGCACAGATCCCACTGTGCCTTCACCTGGGAGCTCGCCAAAGCCAGCGAAAAGCTTGCGAGCCATCAAAAGCCTCGCTCTAAAAAAGATCGCGGCTATCGTGTTTTCTCAGGAGCTTGGTTCATAAGGTTTGCAGCGGGAACACATTCAAACCAGCGCCCACCCCCATAGGAGCCCTCGGATTCAGCAACTGCCAGACGGTGGCACCAGATCTGCGCAGACACGGATGTCCCAGCGCTGGGGCCAACACGGACACCCCCATGCACCCCACGCTGCGCACCCCAAGCTGAACACCCCAGCTCTCACTGGGGCAACGGTCTCAGGAGCTCTGCCTCCCTGAGAAGCACGCGTTCCTGGCTGGATGCCGGGACAGCCTGCGACAGAGCCCTTTCAGGGAGCTTGGAGAACATCCATCCCCAGGCCAGCACATCTGCTAGATGTGCAGAATCATGTAAGGGTGCTTCAGAGCTACCATGGGAGCAGCTGCTAAGCCAGGTCTCCAAACACTCTAGCTGGGTACGTACCATTAACACCCCGTAGGACCACCAGTCAGCGCTGTGGGAGTGGCCCTGGCGATTCACAACTTCTGGTGCCATATACTCCACTGTCCCACAGAAGGAATAGGCTTTCTTTTCGTGGTCTATAGCCTCCTTACTCAAGCCAAAATCTACATAAGAGAAAAAGTGTCAGCATGCACCCACATGCTCCAAGCAATCACACAGAGCAGAGGGGTCTAAGAGAAGCTCCGTATTTCAAGAACCAACCTTGCTGGAGCACAAGGCCTTTGTGGAGTCCCTTACCTGTGAGTTTGATGTGCCCTTCTTCATCCAAGAGGATGCTATGGCATGAATGAAAAAAACAAGTTGTTACTGTCTACAATAAGGGCAGAGGCTGGTCTGAGATGCTCCCAGAATCCAGAAGAGAAAGTTCTCTCTCCCTTCCCCGATGCTTTAAGCTCCGTCACCAAGACATGAGTGGGACAAAGAGCAGCTCCCTTCTCTCTACGCCCTCAACTTCCCATTGAACGAATGACCCACACAGGTTACACCCCTTTTGACCCCCCACATCCCCCAGGTAAGAATAACCAAGTCACGCAGCTGGTCTGCATCTCTGCAGAGGCCCAGCCTGGTGCCTTTTCTCCCCAAAGGCTCTCAATTGCTTAAAGCTGGAGCCTGGCGACGGCCAAGGATTACGGCTCAGACATGTGGTGCACACATGCTGCCTCCACGGCGCTCCTGGCCACAACTGTTGATCTGCGGAACAAGAGCCTCGCCGATTGGCACTGCCACCCTCCATCGGGCTGGCCCACAGGCATCGTTCAGCCTTGCCTTTATGGAAGAAGGCTGCGCCGTTTGCTGACCACAAGCTTGGGACTGAACTGAAGGGCTCGGTTCCCTGCCTCAGCTGTGCTGCACGTACTTCTCTGGTTTGAGATCCCTGTATATGATTCCCAGGCTGTGCAAATGGTCGAGCCCCAGAGCCAACTCTGCTAGGTAGAACTTCACGTCCTCCTCAGTGAACATGACCTGCAGGAAGGGGGAGGAAGCGGACAGGCGCTGGGGTTACAACGCCAGCAGCAGGCCCACCTCTGCTGCACCCATGCAAGACCTTTGCACCCACGTTGCTCCCTTCTGCCCTTTCATACCTAATTTTCCCAGGCTTCACCCACCATCCTGAAGTATCAATTAAGCAGCAACACCAAAAAAACCAACCAAGTTTGCTAAGTAGCAGACAGGTTTTTAAAAAACTCATCATTGACGTTAACCAGGCTGTGTTCCCAGTTGTCTTCACGTGGCACAACTTCTCGTTAGCCCTGCCCTCGCGCTGTCCCAGCGAGGTGACACAACACAACACTGCAGCAGAACATGGTCCTCGCCCATTTTTGTTCTTAACGTGATGCTCAGCAGAGGCTGCTGCGGAGGCGATGCCTGCCTCCTCTGCTGCTGCTTTCCTGCCAGAGGACAGGGCTCCCGGGACACCCTCTCCTGTTGCCAGCTCTGGGCTAGCGGCAGGTTGGAGGTCATTTCCACCCCTCTCAAAGACTTTGCGAGAGTCAATCGCTTCTCCAGGCAATTAAGCCCAGATGAACCGAGAGCCTCAGCAACCCACCAAGATGCCAGAGCATACCCACCTCTTTGGAAAGCCGAGTGAAAAGGTCACCTCCTCTGAGGAAATCCAAGATGAGATACAGCTTCCCCTCCGTCTGGAATGCTGAAACACAAGCCGGAGCAGGAATCAGACCCCTCCGCTGAGGGAAGGCTCCATGGTGTTACATTAATCACTTAAATCCCAATGGCTCCGGCTGTGCAGATGCCCTGCATGGTTACTAGGTTAAACACAGGTAGGGCCAATGATTTGGGGTAAATGAGACAGCCTGTCCGTGACGCTGAAACAAGAGCTCGCCAGCAGCACACTGGCACTGCAGCAAAATCCTCATTTTGGGGCGGGGTGGTTCCCTTTCAGCCAGTGATGCTCTGCTGAAGGGCTGTTTTCCTGAGAGCGGCACGGGTCACTTTACAGGGAAAGAAGCTGCCCTCACCTTCCTCAGAGTCAGAGCATTAATCCTGCCAAACTCTGGCTTGACTAGTTAACTCTGCTTTCTCAATTTCTTGTGATTTAATGTTTTAATCCCAAGGATTTGATGTTTAAACCTCTTCTCCCAGTCTATGCTCTGTTTCCCATTCAATAGCTAGAGCAGGCATGGGCCCAAAGACCTTTCCAGGAAAGGATTTGTGTTAAGGGGATTGTGAAGGCTCCAGGGCAGCACAGCCGCTGAGGGATACAGACTGACCCAGGCCTCTTCTCCATTTCAGGTATCTCCAGAAGCCTGTTTGGGACCACGAGAGGCTCTCAGCATCCTCCAAGCAGCCTGCTGCTGGATACCTCGTGCTCGCCTCCCTGCTCGTGGAGGGTGTGCCTGTAGTAGCATCTTTCTTTATTGTGCCTGAAAGCGGTCAGCATCTGTTCGAGCCTGCAGGCCCTCTCCCCATGTCCCAACCAGCTCCACACTCACCGTAGTGGAGTTTCACCACAAAGGGATGGTTTACATCAGCCAGGATGTCCCTTTCTATCTTTGTCCTTACTCGATCACGCACTGTGGGAAGAGAAAGGACCCGCTCAGACACAGAAAAAGGCACGCAGTACCCTGGCATCAGCCTCGTCCCCCAGCCTTAAGCCCTTTAGTACCAGGCAGCTTGAGCCAGATCTGTTCCCACCTCCATCACTGCAACAAGAGTCTTTTATAGATGGAGAGGAAAGGAGGCTGTTTGGCTGAGATAAAGGTACTTCTCTTTCCCCCAGGTCACCCCGGGGCCAGCAGTGACTGCTGTGACATTTCCCCAGTGCTCTTTAAGACCTGGAAGATAAGAGCATCACAGCAAGAGCCTCCTACCTTTCAATGTCGCCTTCTTGAGCACTTTCATGGCATAGAGGTGGTTGCTGTCTGGCGGTGTTATTTTTCTCACCAAGAAAACCTGCGGGAGAAGAACACCACATTCACCAAGCACTAAACATTAGCAGTAGGAGCTAGATGCCTCCCAGAGTGGCAAACCTCACAGTAACCCTGAGAAGCAGCCGGCCATGGGACTGGTGAGATGCACCTCAAGCTCTCCATGTCAAACCCCATGAGGTTTTCAGGGAAGTGCTGTGTGCAGACTCCCCTCACCCCCTTTCCCCAGCCATTACAGCCCTCGTGCTTTTATACTGCGCTTTAGAATAGAATCATTTAGGTTGGAAAAGACCTTTAAGATCATCAAGCCCAACCGCTTTCCTCCTCCCCTGTCCCCCACACCTCTTGCTCGCTCCTGTGGTTCTCAGGGGGCTGGTGGCTGATGCCTGGGAGCTGTGACCTGAAGCACTGATGCTTCGATGTACCACAAAGCCTCCTGGTGACTTGCTGGTTTGACAGCCAGATCAACTCCTTGTTATTCAGATCCTGCGTCCTCTTGGGATTTTTACCTCCTTCCCTTCCCCGATGTCCCATTCTACCTGGTTTTAGGCAGCTTCAGAAAGACCCCACCTTTCTTTTGCATAAAGCCACTGCTGCATTTGCCCAGGCAACAGCACACAGGCCCGTACAAGCCCCCACTGTTAGCGCCAGTAGCTGATTGACGTGAAGTTGATTTAACGTGTGAGCAGATGGTCTGTAAGAGACCTGGATTATTTACACATTGAAATAGATAAGAGTTACAGGCTACTTCCTTCCCCCTTCACAGAAGGGAAACTGGACCGTAAACAGGGGCCAAAACTAGAAGCACACAGCATCACTTCTGAGAAGAGAGGAACATGCCCGAGTCCTCCGAGTCCTCAATGCCACTGACAGCTTGGCAGCCAGCTAGAGAGCTGCAGGAGCTCCCCCTGCCCTGTGCAACACCTGCATTCACAAGCAGGATACTGCTCCTTTCTCCTGATCATCCAAAAAAAGAATTACAGGGGAGCTTTGGATGTACAGGCTGGCCCCACAGCTGCCTTTCAAGTCAGAAGCAACCATTTGCTAAGTGGGCTCAGCAGGCAGGTTCTCACAATCTGGTGGGAATCAGGAAAGTGTTTCCATTGGGGATAGTCCCTTTTGTCATCAAAATCATTTAGCTGGCCTGACACATAGGGCGAAATGAACTCACCTTGCCGAAAGAGCCCTGTCCCAGCACCTTCAGGAGCTCAAACTGCGAAGGATCAGCTTTCTCGGAGCCTTCCTTCACATGGTGCGTGATGTTGATTTCTTTCACGACACCTTCGCCCTGGAAAAGAGGGGACATGGTTGAGTGGGAATATGCTCCTGAAGAAGGGAAATCAAGCCTGATCGGATTAAGGAACAAGGATTGTAGCTACAGACTCACAGGAACCACATCTGAGAGAACCATAAAAGTTGGTGCTTGTCACAGGTATCTCCTGGCTTCAACATCTGGAATAAATAAGTGATCAGTAGGCTTGCACCAGGCAGCCTCGTTAAATATCCAGCGCTTTCCCCAAAGGCTCCGCTCCTCGCACCGCAGGCGCTGCATTTCTTTGAACTGCATTTCAGAAGAGTGCTTGAAAAGCACCTTCCTTTTAAAGGCACTGGTGGCAAAACCAGGAGTGTTTATGCCACTAAAAATCCCACAACACAAAAATACGGCTCTGTTGTCAAAACACGGCCAGGGCTGGCAAAAATCAGACATGTTGGAGCCCATCTGCTCAGCAATCTGAGCAACTCTGCAACATAAGTCTTAGTGCATCTTCAGCACATACAGATGATGCTTTAACAGACTCAAGCCTTCAAGAAGATTGAGGGGAAGCCAAGGTCTCTGGCACATGTTTTGTTTAAAACACATTCTTTTATTTAAAAAAAAACAAAGAAGAAAAAGGGATTGCATCAGCAGTATCTAGAACATACCCACCAATGAAGCACACAAGAACAGCCACAGACCCTGAGGTGATGCTGAAACACCTCCCTTCCCCAGCAAACCTTGCCCATTCCTCCCCTGCAACTCTGGTCCATAACTCCGGCCCAGAGCTGAGCTCAACAGAAACACCTTGTGATGCTTTCTATTTGCATCCCAAATATAAAGAGACTTCTTATTCTACTGGCCTTCCAGCCATGCCTTTCCCCCTACTTCTCGTGATTGTACCTAGCCAGTACATCTGTACTTAGGTTTCCCCTGAGCTTGACCTGTTCCAGCCCCTCGCCTGGCTGACCACGGGGAGAGCCCACGGGCTGGACTCAACTTCCCACTTCTACAGATGTGAATCTTACTCAGGCCAGAAATCCCTTCTAGCTGTATGTCTTGTAAGGGCAAGTCCAGGCTTCCTAGCACTTCAGTCCCACATTACCCAGCGTTAGACATGGTCTGGTTGCTATTTGCACCTGAAGGCCAGCAATTATCTTCCAAAGGGCACTAAACTGGGTTGCTCTCTGTCCCTAAGGCAGATGTGGCCGTCAGAGGCTGCCAGAAAGCTGGAACCACTATTTAGCTTTTCCCCTTGCAGAGCTGGGGGGAAAAAAAAAGTTACACTTTGTTTTGTAAAACTCTCGAGGTACTTGGTCTGGAACCCACCTCATCAAAACAGCTTTTAAAAACAACAGGAACCAAGTTTCAGGCTCTGCCTCTCCTCTGCGCCCCAGCCCACTCCCCACCCTCCCAGCACCTTCTCGGGGAGGGTGGCCTTGCCAAGTGCCCGCGGATGTGGTTGCCTACCTGCACCGAGCACCCTTCCCTTCCCGCTCTCAGGCTTTGCTTTTCTTGTGATTAGGAAGTGGCTTTGTGTCCATGTTGGTAGCTTTTCTCTCTCAGGATCCTGCATTATTCAGACACTACGCCCTAGCAGGGAAGCCCACGCTCTCAGCAGTGCAGCACATACAGCCCGAGCTCAGGGAGAGGGTAGGGGGGCAGGAGCTCCCCCCGTGTTATCCTGCCTTTTGCTGGACTGAGTGATCACAGACAAAAAAGATCTTATAACCCCTGTAACAAGAGTTTTTCATGTTCCATATGATCTCCCAGCTTAAATCCTTACACTTCTGGTTTCGTTTGGAGGCTTAGTCCATGGCAGACGGCTGTTGGTTAGGAACAGCTTCCCACTTCTAGCCGAGAGCCTGAGCGGGACTCAGCCAGGATATCTCCTGTTAGTCCTTCCACATTCTTAGCTCTCCAGGGAGAGACCCCACAGCTGGGAGAGACCCAGGGACGGGCCCAGCGGAAGGTGAAGGCGCTTTCCCTCCCCCTCATCTTCATGAAAACACTAGAAACCAGGTCTACAGAGCATCAGCACTCATACAACCATGCGTGTTTTACCCTGTAGCATCACACACCTATGCAGGAAGGAACATTTAAAATGAACTGTATCCACCTCCAAGGCATCTGGACCTGTCCTCCTGCCACAGCTCTTCAGGAACTGCAGAGCGATGTTATTTTCACAGCTGTGGAAATTCTCTGCCTTGGCTGATAGCAAGACCCAGTGTGTTTAACTGCAAGTGGTTTCAGCAGCCCAAGCTGGATCTCCAGGCAGGCAGGGATTTGCATACGCAGCCTTGCCAGCCAGACCACATCAGCAAACATACGTACAGGCCAACTAGACCAAAAGTGGCATCAGCGGAGACATTGTTGATAGCTTTCTGAGTAAAGCTTTGAGATGCCATTTGGTGTCTTGCTGACACAAGGGAGGTTTTCTCCCATGGACTCATCCAGTAACTTGCAATTCAACCGTTAGGACTCCGGAGACCGGCTCCTGCAGCCTGTTTAGCAGCACACTAGAACGTCCCCAACACAAAAGCACCTGCGTGCCACCGAGCTGCTGCACAAACAGGCTTTGCTTGCACCGAGATAAGTTTCTTCCGATGGCACCGTTAAGCAAACTATCCCAGAAAGCAGAAAAAAAAAAAAGCAAACCAGACTGCTCCAAACATCCATCTGAAGCACCAGCCCACCTGGATGAACAACCAGCGACACCACGTGAAGCAAAGTGAGCTAGCGGCAGTACTGACCGGGCTGGAGAGCTGGCTGGGGGCAGGCAGCTGCAGGCTGCAGGGCTTGGCTCGGTGCTTCCTCTGCAGCCAGAGCGTGAGGAACGCGCAGATGCGAGGAAGTTTAGGGTCCCTCTCCATTCTCCCATCCCGATCAACCTCGCGCAGCCCCAGTAACCACCACCCTCGCGAGCTCCCGGGGAAGCATGGCCGGCTCCTGGGGATCGGCAGGGCTCCGGCGGCGCTGCATGGACGCCCCACGCTTGAGGTTGCCGAATGGAGGAGATACAGGTGGTTAAAGCCCAGCTGGCAGATGCGCAGTGGAGACAAGTGACTCGGTCGCACGGAGGCAGGTTCACGCTCCCACTCCCCAGCAACAGCGCTTGTGGTTGGGGCTTTTTTTTTTTTTCTGGTTTTGCTTTTAAAAAAAAACCAAAAAAACCCAAACCTCACAGCTCCTTGTTCACTTGGGTTCCCTGGTTGAGATAAGACGCTAACAGAAAATGTACATGGTCTTAGTTAAAGTGAGTTCCATCTAGTGCTGCAAGAATCTCATATCAGGCTGTGAGCTTTGGGGGTATTTCCACAACAGGGGAATATTCCGAGAAGCCGCTTACTCTTTAAAAAGGAAGAGAAAAACTCATGAAACCCCACACAGAAGTCTGGCACCACCTCGGAAAGCTGCACATCTCTTTGCTCTCACACTGGCGCAGGGATGATGGGTCACCCATGAAGGGATTCAGGCTGCATCGATCCCATGGGCAAATCCTCTGGCATCGCTAGGATTTGCATCTAGTCCTTCGTTTGCTTTACGCTGCACAAAAGTCCTTGCCATGGATGCTGGACTTAGCCACCCTGGGAAGTGCCACACGAGGTATTTTTGAGGCAGATAGCTTCTGAACCCACTGCTGCTCGGGTTTACTGGCAGGACAGAGGAGAGGTATTTGGATCGCTTGTTTTGCCTCCTTCCCCCTCCAAGCCTCTTCCCCTTTGACTTTTCCATTGGGTCAGGACAGACCCCAGAGAGAGTGCAGGTAAGACAGAAACCCCTTGAAATGAGTAAGAAGACACCCACGTGCCTTTGCAATTAGAAATAACCCTTTGTCAGCACTGATTTCTGAATTTCTCCAGCGAGTGCAGAGTATGAAAAGAGGATCTTGCTTTGGACCCAGAGAGACTACTTATGACTGTCTTGCCTCCTCCACCCCCATAACGTGCTCTTTGAGAACCGATAACGAAAGCAACAAATGACTTAATACCAGCAAGGCAGCTGGTCCCAGCTCCACAGTGCTGTGGCTGCTGAGCTCCAAAGCAAAGGAGCTGGGAGGAGGTGCTGGGGAGCAGCACGGAACAGCACCGTGCGGCTGCTGAGCACAAGTCTCCAGGAGACTCGGTTCATGCTGACACCTCCTTCGTTCTGCCACAGTCCCAGTGAAGCAGAAACCGTGTCCACAATGTGCCGTCCAAAGATGAGAATCACCACTTCCATCAAGCTTTACGTGGCTCAGTGAAGCCGTGGGGGTGCTGCAGCAGCCAGACAGCTCTCTGCACGTGGGCCCGGCAAAATCTGATAAATCTTCTCCCGACCAAGACAATTTTGCATGTTGTGTTATCAGCGTGGGGAGAGGAGCCTCAGAAAAGCAATCAAAAATCCCCGCTGTACGTCCATGCAACTAAAACACAGGAGCGCCCGCCCCAGCAAGCTGACAAGATCAGAAAGCCACAGGAGACATAAATGACAGCACGGAAAGGGGTTTGGTGTGGGGAGGAAGGAGGAGGAGGATGAAGTCAAGTCCAGGATGTCACATGAGCAAATGAGTAAGAGCTGTTTTCTGTATTAGCAGTCCCACCTCGCTGAGACGGGCTGGCAGGGGCGTGCTGCAAGAAAGGGTTTGGTTTTTGGAGAGGTCCCTGCAAGCACTGCTTTCGCCCTCGCACACGTGGGACGACCCGTCATGGAACAAAGCACAACTAAACGCCCGGGTCTCCCTGAGAAGCACATCTGCAGCAGGCTCTCTTACCTTGTCTGCCGAGTCCACAAGGTCTTTCTCTATCCAAGTGATGTCTGATTTTGCCTGCGGGACAATAAATGAGTGTCAGCACAGAGGGGCTACGATATTCCGCTAAAGTTTTCCCAACTAACTTGTTTAGCAAGGCCAGGCGAGCTGTTTACAGTCACTGGGGGCGTCCCACCAGACATTGCTCCTCGGGATGTGATTCTGAGCGGTGTTGGTGGTCCCAGGAGAGCAGCTGGAGGCAGCTGCTGTTAAAGGCTTTGATAAACTCTGACGGGCGGTGGAGAAGGAAGCGGTGCCGGCACTTGGTTATACATGTTCCCCAAGAACCAGAGCACCACCACCCAGGAGAAAGAATTAATTTCTGGCAGGTTGATTAGCATCTAGATCAGATTTTACTCTTAGCTACGCCTGGACAAACTCCAAAAGCATCCGTTCTGGTAGTGGTGTCCTGGGTCTGCAGGGAAGTTTGGCCCCCCCATGGCACAGAGAGGGCTTCCCTCCAGGGGCACGCTCGGCGTTTCTAAAGCAACCAGGAGGAACATACTCAAATAGCAACACTCACCACATCCCTCGAGGGCAGGGCAGGTCCCTGAGCAGCATTAGAAATGTCAGCTTATGCTGCCTCTGGGGCCAGATGCAATTCTGTGAACCCTTATAGGGAGAGATGCAGAAGCATTTAAAGGGCGCTCAGAAAAAAACCTGCTGCTCAGCTAGGATAGGGCTCCTTCGCCCCCAAAAAACCCTCAGACTTAAGGAAAGAACTAAGTTTTTGCAAGGTCAGTAGGTTTTTGCAAGGTCAGTAGGTTTTTGCAAGGTCAGTCCCCAAGCCTGCTGTATTTTAATGAACGTACATAGATTTGCTGTCCCATCTAGGTACTCTTTCACCTGTTTTTTAGATAACGAGCTGAGTCTGAATAGAAAAATCACCCCTAAAAAAATCAAATCAGATTTGAAACGTTTCCTCCAAGAGGTTCAAGTCTTTGGCTGCGGATAAGATAAAACTCATGTGACTGCAGACAGAAGGGATCTAAGAGAGGCTTGAGCTCTGACTTCTCTTGTGTCTTTTCAAGCACTTTGTCAGCACGACAGAGCCTGTGGCGCTGGCAGGGCTCTTCGGCGCCAGCAACGTCAACCGGGTGGGCGCAGCGCGAGGCAGAGTGGCCTGAAAGTAGGACAGGAGCTACAGAGAGGCGAGAGAAGAAAAAGCAAGCCTTGAGGGAAGGGAGGAGCTGCGTGAAAACAGCGAGATTAGAGTTAAGAATTAACTGATTTTCATCTCCGGAAGGACTGCACCAGATCGGAGGGGGCCCTCGCAGTCACCTCTTCCCCTTCCTCCCCTCCACCGCTCTGCCCTCGCTGCGGGAGCAGCCAGGATTGCTTTGGGCTTTGGGAGAAAGTGGCTGTCCCGCTGCCACCGTGGGAAGCGGGTGCCTGGGGCAGCCGTCTGACACATCGACCAAAGCCACAACTAAACCCCTTCCCGAACGCCCAAAAGCGATCGCAAAAACCTCAGCAATCCCCACCCCACCGGGGATCACACCCGCCCACAGGGAAACCAGCTCCTTTGCTGCTCCGACCAGCGAGCAGGTATCAAACCCCGCTTAGGATGGCGATGGATTGATTTCTCGCCCACGAGCATGGATCTCTCTGCAGGTCCACCCCACCAGACACCGCTCCCGTGAGCTACCAGCCATCTTCTGACACCCGCAGCCTCGGGGGAGGCCATTTTACACAGATTCCTGCACCGCTGGGAACTGATATTTCCCGCTCCCAGAAAATAAAAGGAGACCCCCAGCCACTGGCCAGGTCTGAGCCCGGGAGGTCGCCCAAGTCGGAGGAGGCGACAAGAAGTTCTGAACTTCCCAATGCCGCCTTTGAGCTTCACAGATGGCTTAGTCATCCTACATCAGGAGCTGGGGACATACATACGTTTGGTTCCCCCCTCCCCAACACCAAGTTCAAAATACAAGTCCTCTTTCCTACTTTCCCCTTTTTTGAGGGAGGATTTTGCAAGCCAGAAGCCAAGAGACAGGTTTGTTTTTGCTCGCGTTTTGTCACTTTGCTGGTTGAGACAGGCACATCTAAATGCAAGAAAAAAAAAAACCCTGCAAGAGCTAGAAACAGATTACGCTTTTGGCATTTCGCTTCCTATTCATCAACAACTAACCAGAAGCTGTTTTAATTTCTGTTGCTTCAACACATGCTCTGGTCCCAAAACACTCCCAAATTCTGGCAGCACCTAGGAAAGATGCTTCTTAGAAAACGGTTTTCCCAATCAGAAATGCCTTTTCCAAAAGAGAAGTCGTTAATTAAAACTGGATAGGGTCTAGCGCTCTAAGGTCAGGCGATTCGCCAGCCGAGGCTGGTGAGCCGTGTCCTGCAGAAGAGACAGAGCACAGCGCTGTAGGCAGAGCAGATATTTTATCAGCTAGACACTTGCCTCCTGGATCCTTGGCTTGCTGCGGAAGAGGAGCCTCAGCATCTCCAAAGCTTTAGGCTGCTATTCTCCCATACTTTGCAAGCTGGCTTCTGAACTTAGAGCACTCTGCAGCACCCAGAGCAGCATGAGAACCCCGAGTGTAGTAGTTACGTCACTGGGATGTATTTTGGGAGTTTTCGCTGAAAGGAAACTGCGGTTTCGTATGGGGAAATTGCATCGTGTGGCGATGGCTGCACAACACCAGCAGCCAAATGAAAACACTGGATGGCTTTACAGGTGCTTAGGCACGGCTCTTTCCATCAGCAAATCTCAGCAGGCTTTTCAAGAGGATCAGTGTAGTGTCACAGACAGGAAAAGAGGCGTAGAAAGAGCAATTTCAGCCACCACATGAGACAGCAATGAGCAACTGGGAGTCTGCCTACTTTTCTTCTGCAAAGTTAAGCTGCCCCTGCCCTGAGCAGCACAAATGCTGAGTCCAGCACAAATATTCTCCTGGTAGGATCAGCTGAATTGCAGGTCTCCAGGGAAGGAGCCAGGAGGTGGCAGCTTCTGCACCCTTCCCTGGTTTGTCCCTGCCCCGTGTTGGAGTTGCCGCTTCGTCGTCTGCTGTATCAGGTCTTTGGGACGCTGCTGCGAGGCCCCAGATGAGGTTTGCACAATGAGATCTTATGGGAGGGTTGCACAATCCTGTCTGCTTGCTCAGGGGTCAGCTCCTGCACCGTGACACTGCTCTGCACCCTGCTCTTAAGCATCTAGGGATGCATTAACACAGCCAGAGGGGGAAGGAGATGGGAATTGGCCGAGTCAGGCAGCACAGACACGGGGACTGGAGCAGCGAGGGAAGAAGGGCTTCAGCCCTATGGCTCTGAATCAATTCTCTCCCAATTTCTATGTTTCAAGGAAAAGAGCCACGTGCTTACTCCCAGTTCCCGTCAAGAGGCCATCTGCATTTCATCTATGCAAAACAGATGCCCTGGATGGTTTCAAAAGTTACCCAGCTGTTTCACCAGTGTCACTGCAAGGTCCTCTGCTGGTTTACAGAATCACTTTAGCCGTCCCCACTCTGTACCTTAAACAAGTCACAGTTCCTGCTG